GAGACATTCTGCGTACTCCAGTGTCAGAAGACATGTTGGGTCGTGTTTTTAATGGTTCTGGTAAGCCTATTGACCAGGGACCAACTGTATTGGCTGAGGATTTCTTGGATATCCAAGGTAAATAATTCTGAAATGTTACTTTTTCTTGTATTACAGTTGCCTCCTGACTTTCATTTTTATGTCAGTATTATTAGCAGTGATGAAAACTAAACATCTTGACTAAAGATATTCTTCCTCTACATTAGGTCAGCCCATCAATCCATGGTCTCGAACTTATCCAGAGGAAATGATTCAGACTGGTATCTCGTCCATTGATGTCATGAACTCAATTGCTCGGTGGGTTGCTTTGTCTCATACGTTTGATGCAGCAAGGTGGTGAATGTGAAGTACAAAAATGCAGGATTGTATTAAATAATGTCATTTCTAATTTCAACACTACCAAAGTACCAAAATGCTTTCCTAATGAAAACAATAAATATATATATTCACAGAGGTCAGAAGATTCCCATTTTCTCAGCTGCTGGTCTGCCTCACAATGAAATTGCAGCCCAGATTTGTCGTCAGGCTGGTTTGGTCAACTTGCCATCGAAAGGTGTACTTGATGACCACAAGGATAACTTTGCAATTGTTTTTGCTGCTATGGGTGTCAACATGGAAACAGCACGCTTCTTCAAGCAGGTTACTATCTCAAATTATGAATACAATAGATAATGTTATTGAAGCATAAGCTGCTTTTACTGCATGATTGCCATTATGCATAGACTTCACAGTAGTAATAGCAATGATAATAATATTGATGATAATAATAATCACAGTACGAATAGTAATGATGAGGATGATGATGATGAAAATCATCATCATAATAATCATAACAATAATAACAAGAATGCCAATGATTATGACTATAATGATAATAATACTGATAATATTATTTTTGCAATGTGTGAAAATGAACAAAAAATAGGGAAAATGCTGTGCTCATTTTTTAATATTTTTTGTGAAATGTCTCTACACATAGATGGCTCTGCCTTACCTGATTTCACCTTTACTTGAATTGGCGGGAGAATGTGTTTTTACTAGTGCTATGAATATCGATGGTTATTTTTATTATAAACATTATAATTACTATAATGTTATAACCATTAGTAACAGCAAAATAAGATAACAAACTATTTTCGTAAGTTAAAGAAAAGGGTAAACGGAGGAGACAGGCAGTACAAGTACAAGTGTAGAATTAAACAAGTAAACTCACAGTGAGCATGTCATGTATACGTGACACCCATCGTGAATGGGTTAAAAGAATATGGTCTCTTGCAAGAAGACTAAGCAGAAAAAAATAGAATGGTCTAGTTGTAGAAAAAATATTTCAGAATAAAATTACACCATTCTCCCTGCAGTAGGTCAAAAAATGCAATCTAGCTAAGATCAGGAAGCAGATAAGTAGTGTTCTGATATGTTTTTATTCAAAAGTATATTTGATTTATATATGATAGTTTCAATAAAAAAGTCAGTCTGCAACAATTTAGTGCATGAAAATATTTTCATATGATTGGGTGGTGCTTGGTTCCACAGCCACACTAATACTCTAATATATATGGTAGCTGGCAACTAGGCCAAAGCCATCTTGTTGAGGCTGTTACTTGGCTGTGCTCCTCATTTCAGTTTGGGTTGTGAGGGAGGGGTCTGCTGCTTATCTATATAGATGTAATTATTGACTTTTTTCCGTAAATATTGACATTTTCAGGAAAAACAATTAATTTGATTTTCAGGTTAAAAAGATTTTCGGCTATGAAATTGTAGCAATCTGTATTTTCTAAAGAAACTTTTTTGTGTGCGCTTGTACTTCTTTGTGTTCATGTGCGTGCGTGCGCGTGTACATGTGCGTGTGCGTCTATATACATGAATATATATATTTATAAATATACATACGAGGTGACTCCGACCCCAATTTGTGGCTGGGGCTTACCAGATCAGGACGACGAGCCTGTTATGTCGGGTGCAGGGCAAAGCCCTCCCAGGGAATCCTACACCCTGAGGTTACATGGTGGGGGGGATGGCCCCCCCGGCCCCCACTCTTCCTCCTTGGGAGGCATGCCTGGTTGTGCCGAGGTGTCGCCCGGCCAGAGCTCCACAAATGGGGTCAATCTGCGGTGAGGGTGCCGTGTAGCAGCCTGGAACATCCTCAGTCTCTCGGAGGATGATTGATTGCCTTTGTTGTCAGGGGAGCTGGGGAGGCTGGGGATTGCCATCACTGCTCTCTCTGAGGTGCAACGGCCTGGTAGTGGTGAGACCAGTAGTGGGGGTTATACCTACTACTGGTCTGGCTGTAGCAATGGTGCGCGCCTAAGGGGAGTCGCGGTGGCTGTCTCTGACCGCTTCCGTTCCTCAGTCAAGAAGGTTACCCCTGTTGACGAGAACATTCTGCTTGTGAAAATGAACCACACTTTGGGCTTCATATCTCTAGTGGCAGTTTACGCTCCTACTGAGGGAAGTGGGCTTGAAGAGAAAGATGTTCTACACCAAACTTGACTCTATAGTGGATCAATGTCCCCGGAGGGACACCCTCATGGTCTTGGGGGACTTCAATGCAGTCACTGGCACTGACAGGGAATGATACGAGCTATGCATCGGTCCCTATGGCTCTGGTACTAGGAACATCAATAGCTCATACCTCTTAGATTTCGCATGATCTAGGAGGCTGAGGATTGTGGGCTCGTGGTACCAGAGACGAGATCTACACCACTGGACTTGATACTCTGATACTGGCGTTGTAGCTAAAGAGATCAACCATATTCCTGTAGATCCTCATCCTTCAGAACTGTATAGTTTTTAGGAGTACTGAGTTCTTTGCTACCGACCACAGACTTGTTGTCGCAACGCTAAGGCTCCGCCTCGGATCTAGACGCATCCTGAGATCTCACCAGCAGGTGTTCCATCTTGAGAGGCTCAAGAGTGAGGAGGTAGCTCAGGAGTATGCAGTGGCAGTCTTAAATCGATTTGAAGTGCTTGGTACTCTACAGGACCCTGCTGAACTGTGGGATACCTAGAAGCGAGGAACTCTGTCAGCTGCCGAGGAGTGCCTTGGGGTCCGACCTTGGCTAAGGAGGCGTGTTGTCTCAGACGAGACAATGAACCATATAGAGATGAGTCGTGCTGCCAGACTGGATGGGAAACATGT